TTATGCTGCTTCTGGCTCATCATACCGGATTTTGATGTCTTTGTACTCGGGGAAATTCCTGTTTGTCATCGTTTTTCCAAGGGATGTTTGGCCCGACAGTGCCAGGCGCCTCTTTTGAAATTAAGAAAGCAGAGGCATAAATTATTTTGTTTCCCTTTCACTGTGTTTTAAATGAGATATATGATTACTTGTTCCTGATCCACTTCTCCATCTTGTTCCTCATCCACTTCTCCGTCTATCTTGCTTGTTCCTGATCCACTTCTCCCTTTGGCTTGCGTGTTCCTGTTTGCTTGCTTGTTCCTGATCCACTTGTCCCTTTGGCTTGCTTGTTCCTGATCCACTTGCTTGTTCCTGACCAGATCCACTGCTTGCTTGTTCCTGATCCATCCTGATCCAGATCCATGTTCCCACTTGTTCTGATCCACTTGTTCCTGATCCAACTTGTTCCAGATTGGCTTGCTTGTTTCCTGATCCACTTGCCCTCCTGCTTTGCTTGTTCCTGATCCATGCTTGCTTGTTCCTGATCCACTTGTCCCTTTGGCTTGCTTGTTCCTGATCCAGTTCCTGATCCACTTCTCCCTTTGGCTTGTTGTTCCTGATTTGCTGCTTGCTTGTTCCTGATCCATGATCACCTTTGGCTTGCTTGTTCCTGATCCACTTGTCCCTTTGGCTTGCTTGTTCCTGATCCACTTTCCCTTTGCTTGTTCCTGATCCAATCCCTTGCTTGTTCCTGATCCACTTCTCCCTTTGGCTTGCTTGTTCCTGATCCATGTGATCCACTTGTTCCTGATCCACTTGTCCTGCTGCTTGCTTGTTCCTGATCCACTTGTCCTTGGCTTGCTTTGTTCTGATCCACTTCTCCATCCATTTGTTCCTGATGTCCCTTTTGCTCCTCCACTTCTCCATCCAGCTTGTTCCTGATCCACTTCTTTGGCTTGCTTGTTCCTGATCCACTTGTCCCTTTGGCTTGCTTTTTCTTGATCCACTCTCCCTTTGGCAGCTCCACTTGTGTTCCTGATCCACTTGTCCCTTTGCTTGCTTGTTCCTGATCCACTTGTCCCTTGGCTTGCTTGTTCCTGATCCACTTCTCCTTGGCTTGCTTGTTCCTGATCCACTGTCCCTTTGGCTTGCTTGTTCCTGATCATTGTTGCTTGTTCCTGATCCATCCACTGTCCTGCTTGCTTGTTCCTGCCACTTCTCCTTTGGCTTGCTTGTTCCTGATCCACTTCTCCCATTTGCTTTGGCTTGCTGTTCCTGATCCAATCCAGCTTGTTGTTCCGATTCACTTCTCCCTTTGGCTTGCTTGTTCCTGATCCACTTGTTGGCTGCTTGTTCCTGATCCACTTGTCTTTGGCTTGCTTGTTCCTGATCCACTTGTCCCTTTGGCTTGCTTGTTCCTGATCCACTTGCTTGCTTGTTCTGATCCACTTGCTTTGCTTGCTTGATCCCTGATCCACTTGTCTTGGCTTGCTTGTTCCTGATCCACTTGCTTGTTCCTGATCCACTTTGTTGGCTTTGTTCCTGATCCACTTGTCCCTTTGGCTTGTGTTCCTGATCCACTTTCCCTTTGGCTTGCTTGTTCTGTCCATGTTCCTGATCCAGGCTTGCTTGTTCCTGATCCACTTGTCCTTTGCTTGTTCCTGATCCACTGGGTCCCTTTGGCTTGCTCCTGATCCACTTGTTGCTTGCTGTTCCTGATCCACTTGTTCCTGTCCCTTTGGCTTGCTTGTTCCTGTTCCAGATCCACTTGCTTGGCTTGTTGTTCCTGATCCACTTGTCCCTTTTGCTTGTTCCTGCTTGGCTTGCTTGTTCTGATCCACTTCTTGCTTGTTCCTGATCCACTTTTCCCTTTGGCTTGCTTGTTCCCCATGCTTGTTCCTGATCCACTTCTCCATTTGTTCCTGATCCACTCCACTTGTTCCTGATCCATCTCTACTTCCGGCTTGCTTGTTCCTGATTCACTTCTCCATCTGGCTTGCTTTTCTGCCATTTCTCGGTTGATTTTCATTTGTCTTGCCATAACCTTCGACAGGTTTTTGCTTATAGTGATTTGTGAGTGAATGATACACCTACAAGAGAGATAGCGGAGTTTCATTCATCATGTCGACGCGGTATTGCATCTTCTTGCCCCCAGCTGTAAACATATATTTCAAATCTGCTATAAATGGCAGCTAACACATCATGATTCTTAGAGGGATGGGCTGTGAATTGAGCTTCTGCCTGCGAATATTTGCCCCCGATAAATATTTTGCTTGCTTCTTAAATATCTGCCAAGCATTTTCAGGAAACTGGGGGCGGTGGGCGAAGGGGTGCTGCTGAAGGTCAAGCGAGGGTGGGCGAGGGGGGGGCGGAGATGTTACATAGCAGCATGAGGGCCGAGAGATCCATTCTTTTTTTCTCTGTCTATATATATACATATGTACATATATGTATATGTACAATATATCATATACTATATATATATATATATATATATATATATATATATATATATATATAT